TAACGACTAGACAGGTATGACTTGGTAAAGTCTATAATCATAAGGGGCTGCGAATTCCAAAGGCGTTTGTTCTTTAGACAGCTATGTAGCGTCATAGTGAATGGGATCGTCTTATCATTACGGTTGAACGCTGCGAGATTAATATCTGCGCAATACGTCTTTTTACCGTCTGTCGAAATGTCTGCCTTAACATAAACTTGGTTAAAATGCTCAAAATAACAGAAGAAATGGAGTGGGCAGCTATAAAGTCAGGCCAGCAGAGTCATGCCCGCGCACGCCACGGCAGAGTAAATCGTAATGACGCACACTCAGCGAGAGAAGCTCGCCAGCTTACCAAAGGGAAGTGCAAAAGGCGGTTAACCAATCAGAATGATATGAACGCATATATCGACAAGCGGCTATTCAAGTATATCGCGTCGATATCGATACGGTATTGAGGTGAGAGCTCCTGATTTAACTAAAAGTCTTTTTCTGACACTTTATCAAAGGCTTTACTAAGATTAAAATAAATAACGGCAACAGATAAATGATCCTTATGGAGAGAAGCAAGTAGATTGAGAAACGGCATAAGGCACGTCTCGCGAGAGCAAACGGGCAAAAAGCCATGTCTTGAAGAAGGAGACACGACCGCTGGGACAAGAGCTTTATTATTCTGACGTTTCGGATTCCTGCTCGAACCCATCATCAGAGAAAAAAGCAGATACGGGTGGTTCATGCACAAGGGGCTGCAGTACTTATAGGATTCAGTCGTCATGCTACTGCATACCTATGAACATTCACGGTTCCCCCTTCATACGGGATCGTCGCACTCGGTGTGCTAATTGTTTGATGGCCAATATTCGCGTCGTTAATTGCTGAGCTTTCATGGTGTGCGTTGGGTGTTGGTGTGATGATTGATCGACCATCTGATCCACCGACCCTGGTGTTGGGAAAAGTGTTTACCTGTGCGCTCCCCGAGTGGCTAATTACGCTGTCTAGGCGAAGTCTCATCACCGAATATGGAAGGGGAGGGTCGTTGCACTTATTAATTGATTCGGGGTCTGTAAACCATGATTCAACTAGCTCCCGGCTCACGCGGTTGTCACCTCTTGCGAGAATTTCGGCCTCATCGAATTGGAATGTGTGGCCGGATCTCGTCGAGTGAGCCGCGACTTGAGAGCTGGCATCATTTCTGCGCATCGCTGCCGCGTGTTCGGCAACTCTCGTTCGGAGCTGTCTTCGGTTTTCTCCGACGTAGTTGCTTTGTCCGGAACTGCACCGCATTTACATGTTTCCTGAATGTCAACAGTTGATCCCGGTCGATAACGACGAAGGTATCATCCACATACTGGGCCGAGAACTTCGGTCTGTGGTGTTGGAAGACCATCGACTCTAATCGTTGCAGGACCGCCTCGGCGATGAATCTGGAAATCGGCGAACCCATTGGTTTGCCCTTCACCTGTTCGTGGATTGTCCCGTCGAAAGTGACGTACGTCCTGCGACAGAATTTCAGGAGCTGAAGGACTTAGGCGTGTCCAACACGATTCTCTGTTTCATCGTATTTGATTAGTAGAAGTAGCTCGATTGTGTTGACAAGAGACCGTGGTATCTAACTCAGCGATCAGGAACTTGAGACGCCGGAACAGCCACTTAGCCAGTGCGTACGTTGGAGTCCCTTTGAGCTACACGATGGGTCGGAAAGGAGTGCCGGTTTTGTGCACCTTGGGCAGGCCATAGAATCGAGCCAAAGCCCTATCTTAGGGTCTCGCCATGCGTCTGTCGGTTGGTGTTATTGCACCTGAGTACTCCAAGGCCAACAACGTAGCATTAATTTCACATGTCAGCGCTTTTACAGGGTTCGTTGCACATGGGACATAGAAATGTCAGTCCTCCAGTAAGCCTTTGGCTTTTGAAATTCTTGCAAGAGGTGACAACCGCGTGAGCCGGGAGCTGCTTGAGCCATGGTTTACTGGCTCCCAGTACATTAACATATGCAATGATCTTCCCATTCCATACTCGGCGCTGAGACTTCGCCTAGACGGAGTAATTGGCCACGCGGGAAGCGCACAGGTGAACACTTTTCCCAAAGCCAGGGTCGGTGGATCAGATCTCATGTTTGACCATCGATGACCGAGCAATCATCACACCAACATTCAACGCACGTAATGAAATTGCAGCAATTAACGACACCAATGTCGGCCCCCCGTATGAAGGGGGCCCGTGAATGTTCATAGGTATGCAGTAGCATGGCGATTGAATCCTATAAATATTTCTGCCCCTTATGCGTGAACCACCTGTATTTGCTTTTTTCTCTGATGATGGGTTCGAGTAGGAATTCGAAACGTCAGGCTAATAAAGCTCTTGTCGCAGCCATCGTGTCTCCTTCTTCAAGACTACTTTTTGGGACTCTTCTCTTCGTTTTTATTGGCAAATAGCCGTTTTGAAAGTCTACTAACTTGATTGGCTATACAGAAGTCAGTAATTTTTGTCGCAATAATTTCTTCAAGGATTCTGGCGAGATAAGGTGTTTTATGGACACCTCGATAGCTTTCAACATCAGATCCACAGCCAGACTGATATATTGGAATAATAACCTTTTCCAAAATGCCGCCCCCGGGTGGGCTCGAACCACCAACCTTTCGGTTAACAGCCGAACGCGCTAACCGATTGCGCCACGGAGGCACGCGAGGGCCCTCGCCACTAATAAATTTCTTTTCAGGTACTTATGGCGATGCACTTAGTTGGAATTTAATGGATACTTCACCCTCCAGTCCTTCTATTTACCATGTTGACGTAGAATCCAAACTTGACTGCTATTTTACTGCAAATCGACAATTAAATCATTTTTGCCTCGTATCCATCCTAGCACGTAGAACGTTGAGTTGAACTAGCCTGACTCTCGTCCACCTACAGTTATTGACCTAACTCGTGAAATGTGTCGGAATTTACGAATGATTGCCAATCACTCGCAAACCGACACCATTTCATGAGTCCAGTGTCTATGTTAATTAGGTACAAGTTTTAAAGAATTAAAAAATATAAAAGAAATATTAAAGTCAGTGTTGCAATGTTTAGAAATGCCGATTTATTTTGAAAAGCCCAATATCCCGAAAACGTCAGAAATGGCTCTAATAAAGAAAAGTTCGCTTTTAGATGTATAGAATGTATTCTCATAACAAAAAACTTGGCAAATATGAAAATAGACATAAATTAACGTCTAATAACAGTGTTTTTGTGAAGTTTACATCTAAATATCGTTTAAGAAGTAGTGTGATTTCATGTATGACGTCATACAAGAGGGGGTCAAGTGCTGGCAGGGACGGATTGTTAACTGCCTACATTTCGAGTGTAGATTCCAAAACTGTTTTCCAGCGTTTTGTGTTATCCATGTGTTTTTTCCGTTAAATGAGATGAGATTCAACAAGAGAAACTCAATTTTGCTTCATTTTACCGATGGGGACGTCGTAGGAACAAACGTCTTTGTAAGGTGACATGCTATGAGGTCGGCCGGTGCCTAATAACTTTAAGTAAAACTGACAGGCGTGATCGTAAAAAAATAAAAAACTGCGCGCGCGGTTTGAATTTTGAGGAGCAAGAAGGACATTTTCAATCGAGTTCCTCACTGGAAACAGTTGGTCCGGCATCAGAAATTGGATTCTCAAACGCATTGTTGCCTACTACCCTCAACCTTGCTGTCATCGTTGCCCTCATCGTACGACTAGGACACTTTTCTGCAATTGCTGGCAATCTGAGCGTAACCAACACAGCCTACAAATCCTTCATATCGTCTCGAATTGTCCACCGTACCTTTGGAACAGGACCTACTAAAGGCTGAGTCGATAATTTCTACACTGCTTGTTGAGCTGCTTAGATTTGTACTCCTGGCATATTACCAAAAAGTCATAGTTAAAAAGACCTCCAGGCCTTGCATTCTTGAGATTCTCCGACAAACCCAACCATACACGCAGTTTTCCCTATTTGGCCCTAGGCGACGTTTTTTTCTTCGATTCCTGTGGCCTGCTCCTTTTCCATAACTTCACGGCATGACTGAAGTACGCACTGACGTCCGCATAATGAGGTCGGAGTGTGGAATCGATCCAGCGACCACCCCTTGCTTAGTCAATTGCGCTAGCCCCTACGCCACCGCAGCACATCGGCGAACGGTATCACATAGTCTACTTGACTGTATGGACGCAGAAAATGCAGGCCAAAGCTGCAATGGATGCCAGATTCTAGCCGCCAAGGTCAACTATCCTGAGGAAGAAATCACAAAGATAAAAGCCCAGTTGCGATGCAGTCTAGACCAAGCTAACGCTAGCACTTTGCCTACTGGACGAGTAACCAGAAGTAGGGCAAAAGCTCCCAGCATAATAGGCACGCCAGCACCTATTACAGCGTCCCCAGAAGGAATAGCTAAAAAGCGAGAAAATAACGACCAGAAAGGCAACCCAAAAACTGAAGAGAAAAATAAATCCAACTGTAAAATAGCCGAGAAAAACGGACGGCTACTTCCGGAAGATGCCTCTTTAGCGGCCGAAGCAGAGACATTGACAGATGCTCCGCCCCTCATGACAAATCCTGTGTGTTCAAACACCTTTGCTGACTCTCAGAAACAGTCCGAGCTTGATAGACCTAGTACGAGCGATGTAATCGATTCATCCATCACAGCCACAGATTTCTCTCCGCAGTCTTCTCCGCCAAGTACTTCTTCCAAGATTGTCAACATAAGAGTCAAACAAACAGACGGCGCAAGCGCATCTGCTCCACCATCACCAGCGCGTAGTCCCAGAGCGTTACGTCATTTAGGGAACCAAAATTGCGTAGAAAATAAAAAAGAGACCGACAGAGAGCAATGTCTTATTATTCAGCGGCTCCCTGAATCAAGTGCAATTACTCCCAAGGATCGAATTTCGGAAGATCTATCACTCTTCCAAGGTCTTTTCAATAATATTTTGGAACCCACGGAGGCTATTGAAGTGATCAAAGCCTTCCGCCTTGGAAAAAGAGCAGATAATCCATCAATGTCCACTCGACCCCGGCCTCTTAAAGTTGTGCTGACCAGCAGCGACCAAGCCAGTCTCATTTACTCCAGGCGATTCAGGATTAAAGGCTCCAACCCCGGTGTTTTTTTTTCAACCGGACTACTCGCCAGCCGAACGGCTCAAGCGTCGTCAGCTGGTTCTAGAACTAAGAAAGAGGCTCAGCGAGGGGGAGAACAATTTAGTAATATACAACAACCAAGTACGGCGGCGTCCGTCACTCTTCCTTTGGACAGGTCCTGTCCGAATGACCGCGCAGCCGACATATTAAGTGAAGGCGCTAACCCAAATGTAACCACATCTTCCGTCAGCCGGAAATTGAAATTCTTGTACACCAACGTGCAGAGTTTGATATCAAAGTTCGACGAGCTGAAGATCCACCTCTGCGACCTATCCCCTGACGTTATCTCTCTAACAGAAACCTGGTTGACCAAACACGTGGACGACCGTGAGCTGGCCTTGCCTGGCTACCAGATGTTTAGAAGGGATAGGGAAGGGCGTCAGGGAGGAGGCGTACTAACGTATGTGAAAAATGGGCTAAATGTATCAGACAAGACCGATAACTTTTCATGCAGTTCCGAGGCAATCTGGTTGTCTATTAAAGTGCCGAGCTCGCCTAGCCTCGATGTCCTGACAGTTTATCGACCGCCGAGACGGGACAACATGGCCGACGCTCGCCTGCTGGAGGAGCTCGAAAAGTTCGCTACGCGGCCGGATATCCTAATCATGGGCGACTTTAACGCGCCCCATATTGACTGGAGCTCAACCCATGCAAATAGCTCAGAACAGACCTACGATAGGAGTTTTCTGAACACGGCACTGAAGCTATTCCTCACTCAACACGTCATGTTACCAACTAGAGTACGCGAAGGCCAACAAGCCAACTGCCTTGATCTTGTCCTTACGAAGTCACAGGGCAGCATTGATGAGGTGTCATACCTACCCCCCTTAGGTAAAAGTGACCACGTCGTTCTTTTATGGGATTACTCGCTTTTTTCCATGCCCAAGAAAACCGGGACAGTTAGAAGAAACCTTTGGCGCGGGGATTTCGACCAAATGAGGGCTGAAATTTTACGCATTGAGTGGGAGTCCATATTTGTTGGGGGCATACTCGAAGACTGGCAACGGTTCCGAGAAATTCTGCACGAGCTGATCGTAAACCACTGTCCGCTTTCACGGAAGACGTTAACTAACAGACCTCGATGGCTTACGCAAGCCTTGAAGAATGAAGTGAATAAAAACGACGGCTGTGGAAAAAATCGCTTTCTGACAGGAGCCCCACATCTATATGCGCGTACAAAATTCAAAGAAATCGAGTCAAGGGTCTTATCCTCAAAACTAGAAAGGAATTCGAACGGCATCTGCTTAACCGTGCCGCGGAGAACCCTAAATTATTCTACGGTTACATAAGGCAGTGCACGCGGAACAAGGACCCAATACCCCTGATAAGGACTGCTGAAGGCGAACATCTCACTGACGACAGGGAGAAAGCTGATCACCTTTCAGAATTTTTTCGGTCTGTTTTTAGTAGCGAAACAGGATTCAACCCTTCGGCCCTTCAATCCTTCGAAGACACCCCAATTATAGAGACCGTCCAGTTCACTGAGGGTATGGTTCTGACGGAGTTGCTGAGGCTAAAGGAATCTAAATCCCCAGGCCCCGATAAGATTCCGGCGAAGACTTTGAAGGAACTCGCCGGTGAGTTGTCTAAGCCACTCTCCATGCTTTTCCATACATCCTTCGAGACCGGATATCTGCCACCCGACTGGAAGTCGGCGTGGATTACGCCGCTGTACAAGGGCGGAAGTCGGGTCTCTGCGAACAATTACAGACCTGTCAGCCTCACCTCCATTTGCTGTAAGATTATGGAGAAGATAATAAAGCAACAACTAATGCAGTTCCTTGAACAAAACCATTTGCTTTCCGATTCTCAGCATGGATTCCGAAAAGGCAGATCCTGTGTGACAAACCTGCTCTACTGTCTGGAACACTGGACTAGGGCTGTTGATAGAGGAGATATGGTGCATGCCATCTATATCGACTTTAAAAAGGCCTTCGACAGTGTGCCTCACCACCGCCTTCTATACAAACTTAGCCGTGCAGGAGTGCGGGGTAAGCTTCTGATGTGGATTCGGAGCTTTTTAATCGGCCGCTCTCAAGCCGTCCACGTCGGTGACCAACAATCTTCCGAGGTTGCCGTTAAGAGTGGTGTTCCCCAAGGCTCTGTTCTTGGTCCTACGCTGTTCCTCGTATACGTCAAAGACTGCGCAAACGAAGTGAATTGCGATGTCGCAATGTTTGCCGATGACATAAAGATTTGGAGTACCATACGAAGCGAAGTTGACGAGGCGCGACTGCAGACAAGTCTGGACCACCTCGAGCAATGGTCGAAAGACTGGCTTCTACCGTTCAACGTAAACAAGTGCACTTTCCTACGCGTCGGCAGAACCAGTTCTCCTAACCACACGGTCTACCGTCTGACTGGCAAACCACTGCAAGAAGTCGACGCCCAGAAGGACTTGGGTGTATGGATCACAACCTCGCTTAAGCCTTCGCTGCAATGTTCGAAGGTGGCCAAGTCGGCGATGTCCATGCTATACCTTGTCAAACGGGCGTTCTCCTCCTTTGATGAAGACTGCTTTGCCAAGGTCTTTCAAACTTTTGTGCGACCGCATCTGGAGTTTGCTATCCAAGCATGGGGACCCTGGACCGCTAAAGACTTCGGCATACTCGAAAAAGTTCAACGGCGAGCAACGAAACTTGTATCTGGGTAGTGGTCACTACCCTACGAAACGCGATTAGCTAATCTTGACCTCTTTCCTTTGAGTTACAGACAGCTACGTGGGGACCTGATATAAGCTTTCCGCATCGTGCGCAATCAGGGCTGCTGCCTCGCGTTCGGAGACTTCTTCGAGTTGGCGACTACGACTAACCTGAGAGGCCATCCACTCAAACTGCGTGTGGCTGGTGTCCGGCTAGACACCCTTCAATATACATACATACATACATACCCGAAAGTTCTTCTTCTCCAACAGAGGGTTTGCAGCTTGGAATGCCTTGCTTGAGGGTGTTGTTATGTCAGGCTCGGTAGATACTTTTAAATGAAGACTAGATCAGCACTGTAGCGCGCACCACAATAACGCCGGACTACGGCCACCCTGACAACCAACGCGGACAATTTAGTGTTATAACGATGCTACTACCAACATTTAAGTAATATATGTTTATGTTATTTATTAGGCTTGGACCACGTCGCACACCGCTGTTCGCATTCACAACGATGCCTGTAGACTAAACAATTTTTCTTCTTTTCCCGTGTCTTAAGTGTGCCTCAACTGTCCGCTGTATTTTGACCAACAAAGCAAGTTAATGTGCCTCTAAACTCTGTTAAAGCATGACATTCTGTTTTCATCTGTACAGTTTTTGCTATTCCCCTCGCATTTCTTTCATGTTACTTCCTTTCCATTTCCTCCATATATATCCTCTGCATGTAACCAATAGGGATTTCAAAGGTACACACCTACTTTCTCTGAAATATACTGATACTGATACTGATACCATTTTTTGTGTATAAGGAAAACTTTTTTCCGTTAAATTAATTTACACTTCTCGTTCGTTTTGGATTACGTTGAATTTCATATCGGTCTCGAAATACCGCTGAATACCTCATAATTTTCACTGTTTTCACCCGACCTTCCATAAAGGCAGATCCTGAATTACCTGTTTGTTGAGAACTTTAAAATAAGATTATTATTGAAGGCATTTACCGAATAAGTGAGTGTTCGGGCACTCGTTTTCATGAAGATGGTCGTTTGGGTCACATGTGAAGACTCATTCAAACATCAAAGCTCATTTTCGAGAAAAATGTCTGCCCACAACGAAAGTCAGCAACGAATATGCCTTTGATTAATAAAAAAAAACTTTCCTTAATAAGTTACCTCTTTAAGAAGCGCCTTATTACTGCACTCCGTCGACGGATCTCTCTGTACTTTGAATCAGTTGCCGTTATCAGATTTCATGAGATAGGTCACGTACTGTATTTCTGGCCTCGTTTCAGGATACGAGAAACCTCGACAACGGTATAGAGAAGAACCCCACTTAAGTGTCAGTAGACTGTGGATCGTGTCATTTGGGGTTTTACTTTGGCAAACATTTGCAGGCTGCTGCAGAAATTACACTGCCAACAACGATTACTTCCCACGACCTCACACCTTAACTCAAAGTTCGTTATTTTGTGAAATTTACTTTTTGTTCATTGTTTATTTACTACTCTCATTCTCGTTGTCGTACACTAGCGTGGGATAAGACCTTCGGCAAAAATCCAGGCAATTTCTGTGCTTTCTTTCATTTCGTCAGCTTACTGTCTAGCGTGCTGCCTCACTCATAAAATTCCTTTACCATAAATCACGTATGGGATGACCCAGAGCCTGCTGACAGTTAAGTTGGGTCCTTCTCTATACTGTTGCCGAAACTTCAAAATGTTTCAACTAAATCCTCCTGAGTTTTTGCACTTTTGCGGTTTTGTTAGCGAATGACGGCAAGTCCACGTTTTCACGTCTGGTGCCGTTGAATTCTCCCTGTTTCGGCAACGTCATGCTGGCATCGCTAGTTTTTTTTTGTCGTTTCGGGTCTGAGACCTCACCTCGGATTCGACATCAACACTTACGCTCAAGACATTCAGTTTGTTGCCAGGAGTCGCTACTACCGCAGTCATGCATTTAGCGAAAATGTCAGTCGCCGGTCAGAAGTCAAGTGTCTCGACACTTAGGTGCAATATAGTAGTTCGCACTCTCGATGCACTATCTTACCCCTCTGTCCGACATTCTACTGTAGAGCCCTCACAATGAAGTCCAGAAGCTCTTTTTCTCTCTGATATTTCCGACTCGCTTAGAAGGTGATATGCACAGTTCACTGTAGTTCGGTATATTTACCGGGTAATATGCATCGCCTTTGAAGGCCCTATTAACAAACGATATTCATATAAAAAACTTGTCACCTTAGCGATTTCAGTAACATTTGAACTTTGCAAAAATGTCATTGTGACAGCATAGACTGAAGCCCGGGCCCATTCAGGTCTCGAAGGCAATCTGAAAGGGGAAGGACCCGCTCTAACAGAAGGTTTGAACAAATCTCGTCTAGTGTAATCAAACCTTCCGGTCAGATTTTTCGGCACTTTGCAGGCAAATATACGTGTCTCCAGTTTATTTTTATGATTCCTCTCCGTCCACCTCTTTCTCACCCACCATGTAAATAAACAACCCTAACGGTGTTCCCGATCTCCGTGGCCATTCTTCCCCATCATCCCCCCCCCCTCAACACCTACAGCGATGGCTTCTGCTTCCACCATCAATGCAAACAATTGTAACGAACCGTCAAACACCGACCTGACCACCGTCAACACCACTGATGCTGGCTCGGCCCCAACCTCTCCACACCTCCACTGCACCTTCGCATCGCGCATCGGCCTGGTCAGTCACCTGCGAACACTTCGCACGGATACTGGTGAATCAGTGTAAAGAGCACCCACTGTCCACGCTGCCCAAGCACATTCATTTAGCGCATGGGCCCACTCGGCCATATGCCTATCCACGACACCGGAATTCACCGCGGTATCGACCCATCTGGTACGCCTTGCACACCCATCATGCCTGGTCCAATCAACATCCCATCACCTAGCGCTCCATCACCAACAGCTTTATCACCATCACCACCGAAACCACCCAACCTATCCTGTCGAACTGCTGCAAACAAAGCTGACTTCTGCCAAGGTCGCCGCTTGGAGCAACAACCGCTGCGAGAAATGCAGGGCGTCGGGATGGCTCACAAGCCCGCGGAGATCCTGAGGTATGCCGACCGCAATAAAATGAAGAACCTCTTCCCAGTGATCGAGGCGATCGACGGTCCCCTACAGAAAGGGACCGCGCCGTCTCTCAGTTCTGACGGCCCAGCGCTTCTGATGGAGAAGTCGCAGATTATGAAGAGCTGGACTGCATACTTCAGAAGCGTCCTCAAACTCTCCTCCGAAATCTCCAATGTCGCCATTGACCGGCTTCCCCTGGGGAAAACAAATATTAACCTAGATCTCCCGCCCTCCCTCCCAGAAACCATCTGCACCATGCAATAACTCTTCGGCGGGGAAGTACTAGGTTCCAATGCGATCCCAGCTGAAATCTACATGAACGGTGGCAACGCTGACTGATGGACCAAATTGTGGCGCTATCCCAGGAGATCCGAAGACAGAGACAGGTTTCATGGACTCCAAAGATGCGGCCATTGTCCATCTCTACAAGCGCAAAGGGGACCGGCAACTTTGTGATAACCACAGAGACATCAAACTATTCAACCTCTCCAGGAATCGTTCGCCCTCCTTTCAATTGTCTCAGCGGCCACTTCGAGCAAGATCTGCAGCTGGGTAGCCGATGCAGCTTCCGACGACACCGCAGGATCACCAGGAATGATCTTTCCAGCTGGACAGCCACAAGAGAAGTTCTAGGAGCAGCAGACCCACCTCTATACTACCTCAGCGGACTTTATGAAAGCCTTTCACACGACAAATCTCGAGGGATTGAAGACAGTCATGCAATGCGTGTCCAACGTGACTATCTACAGCCACCGTCCACGACCTGCTATTCGCCGACGACTGACCGCTCAACGCCACGGCTGAAGTAGACGTGCAACGGAGCATAGACTTCTTCGTCGTCCAGTGTGCCAACTTGGAGCCTACCAAGCAGCATGGACCAAACGGTGATCATGCGCTAACCCTCACCGAAAGCTGAACACAACTTTCCTCGGGTCGTCGTCAATGACGACCAACACCAAGCCATAGATGACTTCACCTATCTAGGGAGCACAGTCTCAAACAACACAAACAGCGACGGTGAGGTTACCAATCGGCTCCCCGAAGCCAGCCGTGCCTCCGGCCTTCTGCAAGCCTCCACGAGGAAGTTTCACGAGCTTCCACTGAACACTGAATTGAAGATGTGTAAGGCCGTCGTCCTAGCAACAACCCCATACCGAGCGAAACTCTGGATTGTCTATGCAGGCCGTGCCAGGAACCTGAATCTCTTCCATCTCAGCTGCCCTCGCAGAATACTGAAGCTGAAATGGCAGGACACGAAATTTTGTGGCGGACCGGAATCCTCAGTATTCACGCCATGCTGAGACAACTGCAACTGCAAATGAGCGGCCAATTAGTGAGAATGGACGATGCCAGCCTACCTAAACAACACATCTATCGAGACAACATCACGGGTGCTCTCCAAAGCCAGCCAGACATTTGGCCGGCTGCAAGCCTCCGTGTGCGATTGCCCCAGCATCCAACTGAATGCCAAACTGAAAATATACAACGCCGTCGTCCCGATGACACTCCAGTACGGAGCGGAGACCTGGACAGTCTACTCAAACCATGCCAGGAACCTCAGTTACTTCGTTTTAACTGCTTTTTCAGAATACTGAAGCTGCGATGGCAGAACAGGATCCCGAGTAAGGGGATCTTGAAACCGACCGGAATCCCCAGCATTCACGTCATGCTGAGGCAACTGCAACTGCGATGGAGCGGCCATCTGGGGAGAATAGACGATGCTCGCCTACCAAAACAATACTTCTATGGAGATGCTGCCACGGGTGCTCGCCGACCCGAAGGACCAAAACCACGCCACAAGGACACTTTGAAGAATTCTCTAAAGCGACTGCATAACAACCAAGAGACCTGGAAAGACCTCGCCCAGAACGGGCCGGCCTGGAGTAGAGAAGTAAAAAATGACGCAGCCATCCACGAAGCGAACCGATTCACCACCGCCAAGGCCGAAATGTAGAGTGAGAAGTCACAAATGCCTCGACTCTTAAACGCCAGCATCCAGCTGCTTCCAAAATACCCGTGCTACCAACGCATATTCTGCGCGCGAATCGGCCTCGTAGGATCCTTTCGGATACAATGCACCAACGACCCTGCAATGCCAACTTCTCTTCCCTCGAACGCCCCTACTATCACCCCTGTGCAAGTCCCGTGTCGATGACTACGCTCTTCACCGTTGATCAGATTGTCAATGCCCCCGCCATCGATCTCCGGCATCATCCGTCCTTCCCCGACCCCTGTGTCAATCAAAGCGACCATTTCCGCCAACACCATGACCTCTCGATGCGATGACGTCCGAGCCTCCATCACCTTCTACTTCGGCCATCAGCACCCCCTCCCCACCTCCTGCGATGTGGACTCCGTCCATACCTGTCCTCACTGCAATCGCACATTCTCCTCACACATCAACCTGGTCAACCATTTACGAATCCACTGCACGGCGACTGGTAAACCAGCGCCTGGAGAACCCATATACACCAGATGCACTCGTCTCCAATGCTTGCATTGCGTCCGCATATTTAGCCGCCGCATGGGCCTACTAGGCCACATGCGCATCCATGGAAACCTGCGGTAGACCATAGCCGCTCTCACCACACCTTCCCGACCAGCGCCTACGACACACCAACATTCCTCATTGCCATACAACGTAATCACTCTCACATAGGTGAGGAATGTGCTCCTTGGTTCCTTCTTCATGTAGCTCCACTACTTCACATGTGCAGTCCGAGCCTGAGACTATCACGGTGCGCTAAGCGCCATAGCTTGGAAGGTTGGCGACTGACGGCGCAATTCAATCTACGCAGCAAGCCCGGTTGTACAGTAGGTGGGCTAACTCATGAAATGTCAACCGAAATTTCGAAATGCGTTCTCATTTCGAAAAGATTAATTAAGTGGGGTTGTAAAACTAATCTTCATGCATCATAATTCTATAATGATCCAGTTACCTCGGGGTGTCGGTTTTTGAATGAAATTATTTTGGACTGCATGCAAGAACTATATCCTCCAAAAATGACTCCTTATTAGCATGCAATTTTGTAATCGATTTTCGATGCCCTTGAAAATGCGATTATACTTGGTAACAATCGGGTGATGGTATCAATTTGTGTTATGATTGCACTGTTCCCACAAGTGTTAGATATATTAAATTCCAATCTTAATTTTAGCATTTGCTGCAACTATTGTAAGACGGGGGACATTTTTGCCAGGATTGCCATTTTTCAGTATTCAAGAGAATTTTGCTGTCTTTAGAGCCCTAATAGTGACCACGAATTCGACAACTCGGTTAGGCCTGTCAGTTCTCCTGTCGGCTTCATCCATTCGCTTCTGCAGTGACTACTCCATGAACCTGTTTCTACGGTAATTCGAAGGTCCATATAAGAAGGAAAACTGTCGGGTAATGGAATCTTCTCCTCGGCCTCCTGATCTACTGAGACTGCAGCGGTGAGCATATAGTCCCACGTTCAACAAAGCTATGGGATGCTTCAGAGAAGCACTCATTAGCGTAGTTGGAGCAGGATACCTTGCCCGTCACGCTTATCTCCGAGGTAGCCTTCATCTTAATCGCGTTCATAATTTGTAGGAGAAATGGATAATTATCGCGAATAGGCTACAGTCCATCTCGAAAAATTTACAGCGTATTTTGGCAACTGATAATTATAGCCGTCATCCAACAATCAAACTAGAAAAACTGACTTCTATTCTGCAAGCTACGTTTCTGCAGCTTTATAAATTATAAGCCGCCGCAAAATTGAATCAACTGTCACCACTATCCGCGGTGATCTCATGGTCGGTTTTTATGTCACCACATTTTAAAACAACTGTTTTTATATGAAATTCGCAGATAAGTGCTGTAACTTGCGGTGGGCAATTCTGACTGTGAGGCTCAGTATTACATTATCCGCGTCTGATTACTTATAAAATTTAAATCGCTAGAGGTTTCTAGCAATTGCGTCTTAAATAACCCCCATGCGACTTCAAAGCACCCCATACTTAGAAACATCTTGACGGCTCCAGAAATAACCGCTACCTTTGCCGCTTAAGCAGGCTATTTTGAGCGTATTTCGGTGACTAGTAATTGTAACTGACATCCAACTTCATAACTAGAAATACCCCTTCTATGCTTACAAACTACGTTTCTACAGTTCAATAATTTATAGGCCGCAATAAAATTAAAGCCATGCCATGTCAGTGTGATTATAAATGACCTCCTGAGAGGATTCATTATCCTGTAATTATCGTCAGACAAAATGCCTATGGAAGTCAACACTCACAGAATGTGGATAAGTAAATGAATTCGTGAAGGGAAATGCCGGAATGAAAATAAACGTTTTCAGCAGGATTCTTCACCCTTTAATATTTTCTGAGTTAATCATGCCGTTATCAGCAGGACTTTTTCAAATTACAGATATGCGTGTATGTTTAGAATTGATAAATGTTAGATGGAACCCCCATTACATATCTATAACCTATCCCTGAATTTTATTTTCAAAAAACTGTCTCTTATGACACTGGCATATCTGCTTAATACTTACTTCTGGATAGTTTCTGAATTTGGGCGATATCTCATCATGTGATCCTCCTCTGATTGCTTCCATTTTTCAAATTTTTCATTTTACGAAAAAGATGGATCTTGAATAACCTACAAACCTATGACTTGCAGTAATCTAACTGCCGACCTTCTAGCAAATGCAGTCTCATCATTACCAAACCATAAGGGTCAGGCTACCTGCCAACACCGTGCATTAATTCATATTTCAACCCGCCTAACTCTAAAGACGTGCCCGTTTTGGTCTGAATTTTTGTTCTGTAGAAACGGAAGGATAACATTTCCTGATGCAGAGAGTTGACAGTTGAAGTAATGCAGGGAGGACTCAACTGGAGACGGATCTTACGAACCAATCAGCACGCAGCACCGGATCACACATTTTCCTTTCCACACATAAAGGCGACATCATCGTAAAGTCTTGAACGAAAAGAGGCAGATGGTGTGGAAGCGTTTTAATTTCCTTAGGAGTTACAAATCGCAAACATAGCGGAGGAATTAATATTTAAAAAAAGCAAAAATAATGACCAGTTTTTTCATTTTTGCCCAACATTAATGCGCAAAAATTGACCAAATGCCTCCTGGCAAACCTTATCCAGTCGAAATGTTAGTGTGAGTAGATGGGCTGAGACCCAGCAGCTTCTGTGGGATAACCATGAAATATTGACAAGCTGCTAACAGGCAGTCAGTTAAGCATACATGTTGCAAGATTGATTGATAGGCCCGTCGTTTAATATTTATAAAATCTTTGGGTCCGAGCTTGAAACTTTTTTACCGGAGTACTTTAGTACAGTTTCGCGCATTAGAATTGGGGAAATCAACATGCACAAAACTAAAGAAGACGTCATACTTGAAATGTCTGGGGAAAGTAGAAGAGAAATAACAAATTAATTTCTCGGGAAGTTAAGATGCCAATCGGGAATACCAAACTTCGTAACAAAAATTACATTGAAAGCGCTGTCATAACAACTGATGAACCGAATCGCTTGCGGAGGTGTTACACAAAGGCCGGAAATCGGCTAAGCGCGGGCCTATGACAGGGGTGGCGGTTGGCCGCGTTGGAACATTGCAGTGTGGTCGTCGTCGCCGTTATTGGCGCCGTTGGACTTACACCTGGACGATGCAGTGGTTCTCGGCAACAGTAAACAGACCTGTCCTGTTTTTATTTCATTGGGTCCGATGATTTTCGAGGAAGACGGTCTGCGCACGGAATGACTGCTAAAAGTGTGGAAACGATGAAAGTACTCGAGTGTTCGGACTGAAGGTCCGTTTGTCTTCGTAGATTGTTGCTCTAAGCTTCACTGCCTTTCTCCAACCCGGCCGATCTTAGACGAGGTACCCCCAAGTCTCGGAGTTGATTTGTACGTCCATGAGCGAGGTTTGAAGGTTGACCTTTTGGTGTCGTTTTTCTCTCTCTGTCGGCGACAAGTGGTGGTGATGTCGCTGTAGAATAATCGCATGGGGTGACGCTCGACATTCATCCTCCCGAGATGGCCGCTCCGACGCGGTTGAAGTTCCCTCAACATGCCATGTATGCTGAGGATCATGTTCCACTCTAGGACTTCTGTATCCGGGATTCTGTGCTGCCACTTCCAAGACAGCTGAGGTAGAAGTGTTCAAGATTCCTGGACTGGTTGTTCAGTTCAGTTCAGTTTATTCAGGGAAATATAGGCGAGCGCCTTTGAACTCCCTATTGGTTACAAGCCGTCGGAGAAAAATATTGATAAGTGGGAAGGTGAAAAAGGGGTTTTGTACATAATCGCTGACAGCTGGTTGAAAAAGAGCAATCAATACTGGTTACTTACTACGTGCAAGTAGTATAAATACATTTGAGTTGGTGTCGGTTATGTGAGGGGATGTGAGGCTGGTAATTGGGAAGCTTGATACGCGTCAAGTCTACACTTAAAGGAATTCACACAGGAGGAGGTTGCAACATCAGTAGGCAGGGCATTCCACGCTGCAACCACTCTGTGACTGAAAAAGAACTTTCTTCCGTTGATCCTTGTTTTCCCGGCGCCTAGTTTTAGGGGATGACCACGCAAATTGGGCGTGTCAGCTTGTGTGAAATAATCAGTAGGATCTAAACAGCAGTCTAGGCCGTTGATGATGCGAAATGTAAGTATAAGGTCACCACGCAATTGCCTGTAAGAAAGTGGAAACAGGTTGAGAGTTGACAGTCGGGTTTTGTAAGGCAGCGTTCCCAGACCTTGTGTCATTTTGGTCGCCCGTCTCTGGACCTTCTCCAAAACGGTATAGTCCTTGGCAGTCCAAGGTCTCCACGCCTGTATGGCGTATTCTAGATGAGGCCGCACGTAGGTGCCAAATATTTTGGAAAAGCAGCCTGTGTCAAATCACATAAATGCTCGCTTAATGAGTTGCAGTGTAGCCATTGCCGATTTAGCAGCCTTCGCGCAGTGCAGTGTTGGTTTGAGTGAAGATGTAATCCATACACCCAAGTCCTTCTGACTGTCAACCTGTTGCAGTGGTGTGCCGTGTAGAAAGTAACTCCTAGGGCTGGAGGCTCTGAAGCTGCCTAGTTGAAGAAAGTTGCACTTCCTTATATTGAAGGCCATTAGCCAGCACTTCGACCAGTCTTCGAGCCTGTTCAAGTTTGCCTGCAGGTGGTCTGCGTCTGCCGCATTGTGAATAACTTTCCACAATTTAATGTCGTCGGCAAGCAGGATGGTATCACAGTCTAGGTCCTTGACGCAGTCATTTATGAAAACGAGGAATAACGTGGGACCTAAGACTGAGCCCTGTGGGACGCCACTCACCACGCTTACCTCTGAAGACTGCTGACGCCCGATCTGCACTCTTTGGGACCGTCCAGCCAAAAAGCTCTGAATCCATACCAGAAGGCGTCCACGAATTCCAGCGTTGCGCAGTTTGTGCAAGAGACGTTAGTGGGGGACGCTGTCAAAGGCCTTTTTGAAGTAGATGTAGATGGCGTGCACCACATTGCCTTCATCACGTGCTTCGGTCCAGCGTTCGAGCGTAAAGAGCAGATTCGTGAGGCAGGACCGACCACCGTGAGGCATAGACTATCCATGTCTCCAGCCCGTTGTCAGAACAATCGTCCTGCACATCCCGAGTTTGCTATTCAGGTGAAGTCCTTGACAATTCCAAACTGAGGCCTGTAGCCGGTTGAATGCCTGGCTGCCTTGAAAACTCAATATGTAACCGTTTCGTCTAACCTGACTTTCGAAAAGATTGTGCAGCCTAGATATCCGACTTTACCCACAATGGTGGGTTGAGTTTTATTTACAGCGACGGGGGCTTCTCTGTAGTTTGTGTCTTGCCATGAACATCGTCTCCTCCGTGTTGATGTCCGCACCCTAACGCAGCCGGGCTTAATTTTTCCAGATAAGAGGTATGCATTATCATAATTGAACATCAGGTTAGTTAAGATGGGCCCAGTCTTACTTTTCAAAAAGTTTTCAATAGTACTTATAAGGCTGTTGTACATTTGACATAGAATATGCGTAAGACTTGGATGTTTTTGTGGGTTTAGTGCAGTACCGCGTTTCCAAGTGATCTTTAAAGCCTTCTAAAACACAGTGAATGCTGAATGGTATTACCGACAAAGACAAGGAAGACTGGGATGGCCATTTCTGGCTTACTAGCCATCGTCAACAAGTCATACCCAACCCCGAATATACGTCACTCTAAGATCGCGTAGGAGTTGTGTTGATCGTCCTCCACATAACAGAGCCGATATGAATTACTTTTGCATGCACAGATTATTTCGAAAAGGGGATTTTAATTTAAAAGTGCAGTAAGAATTAGCACAATGCAATGAAAACTGTGGCCTCGGATGTACCTATGCACGAACAAAGATAACTCCTTCGCATTTCCGTCTTAAAGGTTTCGAAAAGAACTTTCTTTATTCCGGATATTTATGATTCAGTTAACTGTACTATGATCGATTCGCTTAGTTGAAGGGCAGAGCTTTGCGCGCTTCCTCAAATACAGTTTAGACCAGGATTCGAATTATGAGTTGGTTTATCCGCAGCCGTGGTAGATTCCGCATGTCCTTGCAAATGACACCAAGTACTTGGAATTATTCAGTTTAAACTCGGTAGAAAAGGCACCAGATTAAAGAGCAAAACTCATTTGTTGTCTTCACTTTTACAAAAGTTAAATATCATAAGGTGGCACCATAACTTCCCGCAGAATTTATGGAACTATTATTATTTTTTTCCTATCCGGGAAAGTTCATTTTGCTCTTGAGCCTACCCAGTGAAAACCTATAAAAATACCTAGTCACTCTGCATTATAAATTTCATGTGTGCTGAAGGCACAATGCACGTGACACTCGTTGAAAAATGTTTATCCTTAGATAGGAATGTGTGCTTCCGTTTTGATAATTCCAAATACGTCACGAACATGCATTCTACAGTCGATAGTGAATACTAATCAGATATGTTCCTGGAACTTGCAAGACTGATCGAGGCCTGCGCAAATAAACCCAGTGTTAAATCGTAACTGTTCATTCTGTCGGACTTATAAGGCTTAATGAAAATAGTAATACCACTGTTCTGTTTTTCTAGTTCTACCTTGTCTCAGCAGATTGGGCAGAATACTAACCAGTTAATAAAAGCTAGGCGTAGTCAACGGCTGCCAACATGCGAGCGACCTACTACGACCCGTACACTCCTAAGCCCAAACTTCAATTCATGTAAAATAATTGAAACCATAATCAAGAAGGCGACTATGAAGTACCTGGAGGAGAACAACTTACTCAAATGATTCCCACAGGGCTTCAAACAGAGCTGCCCTTGTCTTTCCAGTTTATTTGTCCGTACCGAGCAGCAGACTCATGCAGTGGACTGCAATCGTGAGGTTGACGTCAAATATACCGATTTCAAGAAGGCCTTCCAGAGCGACCCCAGAAAAAGACTAATCTACAGACTATCTGAAACTAAGATGGGGAGGGTTGCTGGCTTGGACGTCTGACTATCTTACACGGATATGGCAGACAATGTGCATTGATGCCTCGAAGTCAACTCCCCATTCCCATCCTAAGTGCTGTCCCTCAGGACTGAGTCTTCGGGCCCTTGCTCGTCCTAGTCTACATCAGCGACTATGGTAGGGGGCGCTCACCGATCGTTCATACGGAACTCACTCGTTCCGTTGTGCCTTAAGGGCTCTCTCACGAGCCCAACCAGCAGCCGCACAGCGGCGCATGATATATAGGCAGAATGGTATTACCGACAAAGACGAGAGAGACTGGTCTTGTCTTTGTCGGTAATACCATTCTGTCTATATATCAACGACTATGTCGACATGCTGGGTTACGGCATCGTCATTTTTGCTGACGATGTTCAACTGTGGAGAGCCATCAGCTCTGAAGCAGACAGGCAGGCACTTCAGGTGAGACTCGGCCGAATTAGCAGCTGGTCTGTTCGTTTGATCTTAAATTGCAACGTTGGCAAGTGTGTGGTCATAAGAATCCTTAAAAGAGGGACCCTGGAGGAGGAGGAGGAGGAGGAGGAGAAGGAGGAGGAGGAGGAGGAGGAGGAGGAGGAGGAGGGCAATTTATTCCCTTACCACATTTATATGCAGTCTCTTTTCAATGTTGATGAAGGGATGTTGTAGTGGACAGCCATAGTGGCAACGTCGCGCCTCTCGCTAGCGACTGCACCTATGCCCTAGCGACAGCCTGCTACGACACGCACGTCTGCCCGGCTTCGATTTATCTCGCTGCAATTCACTGTCTGCACCACGCATCTGGTCGATACTCTGCCTGAACCATGCGAGGCTTGTCACTACCCTCGCGCAAGCTCGGAGCCAATCAACGCACCTCCTCTCGCTGATTGTTACATTGGCGGGCACAGCCCAGAACACTAGCGTAAGCAATCTGTCACGACACTTTTGCAGCGGCGACCTTCGGCGACACACGGCTCGTCGCTCTCGCGGACGTCGCCTCCGCGGCGCCGGACGCATCCTCGTTCGGTTGTCAACTTTCCCCTTCACTATTCTGTATAGAATAAAGTGTCTTAACCCAATGGCGTCCCGCTTCTCCCAACATGGGATATGGCCTGAAGTTGTGGCGTACTGAACATACACCATCACCGCTTAGCCGCTACAATGTACATCAGCGTCCTGATGACCTTGTAGTGGGCAGCCATCATGTCAACGTCGCGTCTCTCGCCAGCGCCTGAACCTACGCCCTAGCGACAGCCTGTTTTGACACGCACGGCTGCCCGGCTTCGATTTGTCTCGTTGCAATTCACTGTCTACACTACGCACCTGGTCGATCCACTGCCTGCACCATGCGAGGCTTGTCACTGCCCTCGCGTGGGCTTGGAGCCAATCAACGCAACTCCTTTCGCCGATTGGTTACACAAGGCGGACACAGGTTAGACCACTGCGTAAACAGTCTGCCAGGACACTTTTGCAGCTGCAACTTTCGGCGACACATGGCTCGTCGCGCTCGCGGACGTCGCCTCCGCGGCGCCCGACGTACCCTCGTCCGGTTGCCAACTTTGCCTGTTGCTCTGTTTAGAATAAACCTTCCTTTCAACTTGGGATATGACCTGAAGTTGTGGCGCACTGAGCATATACCATCACCGCTACAACACCATAGCACAAACCATCGTCACAGTGTCTAAAGGTAGGTAGACCCACGACACGGGTGTTATTCGCACTACGACGAAGATTTGTGCAGATTAATAAGGATCTGTTCGGAAAAAAACCTACAGGGAACTTGTTCGGTATCGACTGGGATAGGTCGTGCAGGTCTGGCGTCCATGGTTTAAGAAGGATTATCAACGGCTGGAAGGAATGCGAGCGAGGACTACAATGACGGTCAAAAATCTTGGTTATCTGCCTTACGAAGCCACACTGGGTGAACTTAATTTGTTCCCTCTCAGTTACAGGCAAATACGCAGTGACCTTATTTAAAGCTACCGCAAAAAAACAGAGGTCATGAGCGTGCTCAGCGAAATGACCTCCGGACATGTAAAATTTCTCCGTTCAGTTCAGCTGCGTTTCCTCTTGCGCTGGCTGGATCACCTGATGAGTTCCACTTTGAGCCCTCGCCACTTCTCCCTCGAGGCAAGTGTGAAATCACTCCAAAATAAACTGCTGGGTGGTCATTGTGGAGTGCAAATTTACAATTCGGCAGTAGCTGCGCTTGTTCCTTATTCTGGAATGCAATCCTTAACGGCCTCGGTAAGCCCAACTCATCCCCTGTTGAGTCTTTTATTGGGCCCATCCGGAAAGCATTTAGTACGGTGGCTTTGTCGTCTCCTTCTATTTGGGATGCTGGTGGAATATTTCCATGTAATTATGTCGAAAGTAGAGGCAGACATTTAAAACTATCGGACTGTCAGAGGACGTGAGTGTGCCCTAGATGTAGTTGACTTCTTCGACCGTCTGCGTGGTCATCCTTCTAAAACGCAGAGGATGCGTGTCCGTATGGACCTCCGACGGAAGGCCCTCTCGCAGAGAGTCATTGGAGCACCGAACTACCTGCCTGATGATGTGGACCTCTCAGAAACTGTCGAAACATCTAAATTCGTACTAGGTACTTATTTGTTGAGAGACGACTCTGCACATAATCTCGATTATGTCGGAGGCGGCAGTCGGAGGCGCCCAGCTGGATCATTCACCGGTGAATCCACACTTATCAGAAATAGTAATTTAGAAATGGATTTGGCACCTATTCAAGCGCATATCTGAATGGTGTCTATCTTGATAGTTATAACGCGTGCATACACCGACGAAAACAGACGCGGATTCTCGCTGTTGCCACCCTCACGTTCGTTACCATCCTTTGAAGCATGTCTGGACAAAGCACACAAATGATGTGATAAGTAAGGTGACAGACAGGTAGTTACGATGGCAATTTCTGATAGTATTCTAAGAACCCTCATTAATATTAATCCACAGGTTTCTACTATCCTTCCTCCTCATCTTTCGCCTGAAACCTTCTTTCTAGATCCTCCGTCGCACAGGTGCCCTCCCACTCGATCTCCTTATCTCCAGGAAAAGCATCCGTTCACTTATGAATACGCTGTTGTCAAATACCACATACACATCTGCCAGTATCGTAAATTGATGGCCATATACAACTCCTTTCACACTGGCTAGCTACTTCGGACATTTGTGGTGACCCCTTTGGAAATTTGGCATTTGAGAAAATCGTAATCGATACTAGCGCAAACCGCAACAGTAAATTAAAACAGTCAGTTTGGTGTCCATATTTTTGCACACATGGAGGGGTGTTCACACGTCTGGTTTGCCTACAAAACTCACGGTACACCTTCCGATTTAATTTGGTGTCCCAGTAAACCGCATTCGCACGCGGTAGCCTGTCGACGTGCAGCCAATGAATTTATAGCAGTCTTAGTGAACGTCCTTCCAATCATGTGGATTTGGAAACGGGGGCTTGAATCTCTGCCTCAAATCGTGGATATTTGCTCTCGCACTTACCCCATCGACGTTAATCCTTCCCAGGATCAAATCATTAACCTATGCCTAGAGGAATACTTTTTTCATTAGCCTTTGAATGATTCTGATGGAAAATAGGCTTTACAGCAGACTGTACGTGACACAGAACGGCAGGAAGTCCTCAATTCAAAATAACCTGCCCAATCGCCTACTATTGCATCGAGCTTAGGCGAAACGCAGGCTTGATTCGGAGCACTAGTCGCAGCTAAACGGCTGTGAAGACCGAGTTGATAATGTGCAATCCTCCTGTCTCTGGATCGATGACCCCCTGATACATACACACAACTCGAGCTCCACTTCAATCTGCATGCACGAAACCCCACCCTACCACCCCCTCGCCTCTCGCACAAGATCAGGCGATCTTATCGCTAGGCGATGCACCTTGACTGGCGTGAGGCTGTTCGCGACTGACACTTGCTTTGTGAATGGTGCGTGGAGCCTTAGTGCGATGAGAGCAACATTCGTTATGGCGTAATACAGAGCTACAGGTTTGCGCTTCAGTGTCAAGCCACGCCCGAAGGTATAGCCGCTGTGTGCTCTACAACTGCCTTCCCGATAAAAACTGACAGATCTTCCTTATTCCAGCCTTCCAGCCTTTTTCGAGCCTTCTTTATCAGGATACATCAAACCCACAGCGTTGTCGCTGACTGTTGCGTGCATCAAAATATTTAGCTTACAACACATTTCGTATGGGACTTCTGATTTGTTTAATTTTGTCTACTAGAACTACCAACGAACAATTCACATAGTCTTAACTGGCAGTATCATGTTTAGGCATCTAATTACCCAGTGGTGTCATACAGCATTCGATCAAAATCGCACATTTGTTTCGTTTTTATTCTCAGGTCTTGAACGAATTATACAGGTACATGTGTCTACATGTACACTGTCTACCTGCAGGTAGCCTTTAAATACCTTCAAAAAAGCACACATTACAAACTATGCCAATTGCTGATTTTGTTGTTTTTAGTTTCTTCTGGCAGAAGTACCCCGGTTTCTCTACCGATGAGACATTTCTATGTATCTATCATCGACATAACTGGCAGTATCCTGTTTAGCCATCTGAGTACTTGGTGGTGTTAAACACCATTCAGTCGAAACCGCGTATTCGATTAGTGCTAATTTACAATACTTGAATGGACTGTGAACGCATCCGTGTACATGTGGACTGTCTACCACTTATACATTTAATAGTACAAATTTTCCTCTCCAAATGTCCTACAGCCCTACCAATCAAGTATTTCAGTTGACTGGGGTGCACATTTCCGTTTTGGACTGCTGGATAATTCTGAAGGTCAGACTGTTTCTTTGTTAAAACAACGTAGGATGTTGATTAAAAAATTTGTTTGTTTAATGCGCATTCTGCTACGACGAATTTAACTTGCAGGCGAGTAACTGTAAATAACTGTGCTTAGTTTAAAATTCAGTGTGTGTGTTCAACGTTTCTATGTACAAGGGTTTGCTTCATTGGAGTATGCATATCTATTTTATGCGAATATGTCAGCATGCACCGTTGAAAAAAACGAAACCATTAAGTACGGTAGTGACTCGTATTGTCCCCGAACATTCAGCGGCTTCGAAATTTACTGGACATCTTGCACCTACAGTACCTGTGCTAACTCATGAAATGTCACGAATTAACACAGGCTAACGACTTTGACGCAAAATCGGTAAACACTACGGCTCCCAAAGTCTGATAGCGGAAAATAAACGATGTGTCAAAGAAATAAAGCAAAGTTTTGTTAAGAAAATATTATTTACTGAGATAAAAATAAATAATTTTCGACAAAAGTCACATTTTCGAGAAACGCCTATATTACAACCAAGTTAATAAAGGCTACGTATGAGGACGTATAAAGGAGGAGGGCGCATAAAAGGTCAAAAATAATTAAGGGCAGAAACAGATACAAAAAATTAGTACTTTGTAGATTGTCCATTCGAATTAATAACAGCAGAAAGTCTTTCCGACATAGACATGACAAGGTTATCTATCGTGGATTGTAAACTGTAATTATTGAGTATGAAATCCAATTTTTCCTGCATTGAAAGAGTCTTCTTAGCTTTGTGCCAATTTCTTTTGACTATTCCAAAAAGATTTTCGATAGGATTCAAATCGGGACTGTTGGCCGGGATGAAAATGGATTGGAGGCCAATTGCGGAGAGCGTGGTTGTTGTCTAAAATGTTAGATTATATTTGCTAGCGGACGTGTTCGGTGGAACACTCATGCAGATTGTCGAATCCGCACTAACTTAACTTTGGACTGGCGTGTTCCGATGTTAATCACAACTCCACCGCATGTGTTTCACGCTGAATGCAAAAAAAGACTTCTGACCGAAAATTACCGATATTCACAATGACTGACTAATAATGCCTTCTTTTTCGGAAGAAATCAAGTATGCCGTTTCTCTTAGGAGCAATTTCGGAGACAGGGCCGACTTAATTTTCAAAACTGGAGCTTGTTCTTAACAGTGTTATTTTACTGTGAGGAAAAGCACTCGATCGCTAAAGCGAAAGTAATGTTCACTTAAGGTTTCAAGTTCATTTTCGAACAAGGACGGCAACAGATTGAAGTTGTGGACGCACAGAGGGTGAAATATGCATAGGCTGCGCACGCATATTCTTACTAATAACGTCCGCACTTCTGCAAATATTAGCACATCGTTTCATGATGTCTCGAGTAGATACATCCAAATTGTGACTGACGGTGATCTACCCGTGCTTTGAGTAATAACACAGCTATTTGTTTTTATAACCGACTGGCATTTCCGACATTGGTAACTGACATAAGTGAAGAAGAAGAGTCGAACACCGGACCTCTATCTGCGAATGTCTCTGATGATGGATTCGAGTGAGAATCCGAAACGTCAGGCAAGTAAACTTCTTGTCCCAGTGATAGCATCTTCATCTTCTGAACTTCGTTTATTATCCTGAGCTTTCAGACTCGTACAGGAGTCCATCGTCAGAGGTAGTGGCAGAAACAGGACAAGCGGCAGTTATAAGGCACGTAGGCCCAATCATCGACCGACGTCGCACGACTGGAGATGACTACGCAGGGCTTTGTACGCCGGCGCCAGATCGATAAATCGATTGACCGAGTTCTCATCCGAGGCCCAGGCTTCAATCAATTCTCGGCCTGTTTTGTTTCCGGCGTGGGCGACTAGTTTGGTGGCTGCGAAGTTAAACTCGTGACCCATTTCGTAGGTGTGGGCGGCCACTTGTGAAAATGCGTCGCCTCGCCGCACAGCCAGCTTATGTTCGTGTATGCACGATCCGAGCATGCGTCCAGTCTGTCCTGTGTAGTGACAAGGACAATTTTGACACGGAATGTGATACACTACTCCAAATTGCTCTTCAGGTTTTAACAGGTCTTTAATTTTCATGACCCTGTTGCGCATAGTGGCTTTGAGGCGGTGTGCAATTCCAACACCTAGCTCCGCAGCAATGCGCTCGGTCGCTTCTGAAACACCCTTGATGTATGGCAAAGAATGCCATATCGTCGGTGACGTTGATGTTCGAGTTCTCTGGTGGCGGCCGCGTAGGCAGCGACTAATGAATGCCCTCGGATAGCCATTTTGCACAAACTGGTCGCGGAGATAACGGGCCTCACGTGCTCTGTCCTCCGGTTTGCTGAGACGAGTTTGGATCCGTCTGAAGAGCGTCTTCACACAGCTTCGTTTGTGAGCCACCGGATGGTTGCTGTGGAGACTGAGAAGCTGTGTGGTGTTCGTTGCCATCCTATAAACCGTCGTTTCAAGTTCACCGTTAAGGTTTCGTCTGACGAGCACATCCAGGAAGGGCAACTGGTGTTCCTGTCCTTCTTCCTTCGTGAATTTTATATCAGGGAAGACTGTGTTGAGCTGAAAGTCGGACCCAATGTTGACATTTTCTGAGTGCACTTTACACTATTTCGATGTTTTTTTTCAAACAAAATCTCAGGTCATGTCTATTAGCCCCAGGAATCCCTGGCATCTGGTGATGAGAAGATCCCCACTATGTTTAATTCTCCTCTACCATCATATCCGTTGGCGACAATCATTTTTCCCTAAAGCCATGCATTACTTCGGAAAATTAGCATCTCCCTTGTAAAAACTAACTGGTCCACAGGTTTCATCCCTCGCAAGGATAAAGACGTCATTAATCGGTCACCTTAGGTGTTGGACACTGCACACCCATTCGACGTTTCCAAAAGAGATGACACAACAGGTTACATAACAAGTCGTTTATTTCTTAACATGCGGGCAATAGAAGAGGCAAAAGAAACGCAGAAGTTACATGCCAATGCTAGCAGCTCCAGCGATAAAGTCGAGCGACTCCAGTGGTTTCTTGGACGACCAGGTCCAAGATGGCAAGTCGTTGCTGTCATCAACTGATCCATCTGGAGCTGTGAGAGTCTCCACCGTGTTTCGTGATCTGGGCAAAAAGCCTGCAAAAATTGAACAATGCTATTAAAAAGCTATTTTAGTAAATATGTGAGTAGAGAAACTAGGAGAAGATTTGCCCAACACAGCTAGTAGAAATCTGTTTCACAAAATCTCCGAGTAGACAAATTAAGCAATATACCGAGCAATTAAGGAGAGGCTTTAACTATTCTGTAGCACAATTCTAGCAAAGGAAGTCGGTACGCCATGCAAAGTCACATCTTCACATTGTTGCCATCATACGGATGTCTTAATCCTCCTCATAAAATGGAATACGTAGAAAAGGTCATGGAATGGTATGCAAGGGAGAGAGAGATTAGGAGAGTGGAGAAGGAATGCAGTTACACTGTGCGTCAGTGCAGAGCAAAGGTGGAGCAGAAGGAGGCATCATTACCGAGAGCAAATACGGCGTCGGTGGAGGTGAGAAGCGTGAATGACCAGCGGGGTTCCTTCATGCCGGACAGCTCTGTCCATTGACCCTGGGGACAACTGACGTCCGGGGGTGAGAACATCTCCACCACGTCCAGATCTTTTTCACCATCATAGCCCCCGGCGACGATGATTTTCCCCCGAAAGTGGGTCGCTGCCAGCGCCGATCGTGCAGTTCTCATGGGTGCGGCTGGCTGCCAAAAGTCCTCCGTGCTGGCCGAGGCCGCCCTTTCTCGCCAGCCTGCTTGCAAATGACAGAACTCCATGGAAGCCAGCCAGCAGGAGTCATTCCGACCGCCAAAAACGAATACTCGGCTATCGCCGGGCAGGCAGGCTGCAGCTGTGGCGCTCCGCTTCTCTCGCAGATCGGGTAGTTTGAACCACCTGTATTGGAAGGAGACGAGTGAGAAGGCAAAAAAGGGAAACTTTTGTAAGATAAACGGGGCAACAAGCAGGCGCTAGGACGAGTGTGATCTCACCTCTCCTGACAGACGTCGTAGACTTCACAAGAGGCGAGGCGACCATGGTTACCGCGTCCACCGAAAATGCCGATAAGCGCCTCCCCTCCGGCTTCCCTTACGACTGCGGCTGCGTGGTACGAGCGTCCAACAGTGAGGGACGCGCGTTTGCGCCAGCGCTGTTCTCCCACCAGAAACTCCTCGACGCTCGCTGAGTTCTTCACTTGCGCAGTGTCTCCTCCAACCACGAAAATGCTCTCTTCCGTGGGGTGGGGTAGAAAAAAATGTTCATAAAGGGCTTGGATGAGGCGGATGATAGGATAAAATAAAGTACAAGGTCTACTAAAGCAGAGGCGTGCGCAATAACAAATGCCAACATTTGCGGGGTGCGCTGGCGGACCCTGTTGTCGGCATTCGTCGCTCAACGGGACCACTGCCGCCACCCCCTTGTTTTGTGGTCAAAATCCTGGTCATTTGTGTGTGGACCAGACGGTGCGGAGTGGAGCGCCGAGGCGAGGATCCGTCCGAGCCATCCACCTGCGGCCTCCCCCGTCTCCGGTCTTCTTGACTCTGTCTTGACACTGGACTCAGGCGGGGGAGGAGGAGAGAGTGTAGGTAGATGTTACGCAAGTCTACTGGCACTATAAACCCCTGCGTAAGTCACCGTCCCTGCTCCCACCACTGCTGCTGTGGGGCACACGGTGGACATCATCGAAATCGTGTGTGCGTGTGTGTCAAAAGTCTGCCAAAATGGTCGAATTCGACAAAGAAGAAAACAAGACAGGTGCGCAGAAGAGGGGATGCGTAACTGTCAGGCAACTCACCGTCCACGACACTGCAGGAGGCGTATTCACGCTTCTCCATGTCAGCAATCCTTTCTTCCTTTTCCAGCTGCGAATCGAAACGCAGAACAGACCACCAGTCCTGACCTTTGCTGCGTCCAAATACGAAGATCGTCGGATGCAGTCTCCAACGTCGGTTGAAGGGACAGGGAGTCTTGTCCTTGTCTGCGTTGCTCATCCACCGCTCCACCTGAGTCATAAAACGACTTTCATTTGAAATAACTGACGAACTGGAACAGCATGTACTTACAGACAGTCGTTGCTTTCCTGGAACATTGGATGATTATCCACTAGACGATTGCGGAATTGGATAGTCGTCTGACACCAACGAACCTCCTTTAACATCTCTGGAGCGTGCAAACTCAGCCTCTTATTATCGGCCTCTTTACCGCCAGAACCCACCCAACTTGAAATGGCCATAAAAACGTCCTCCTCAGAGTCAACTGACAGACTATCGTTTCGCAGCAAAGTCAGCACGGTGTCCGCTGGCAAGCGAACAAAGAGGTCACTCGAGACTAAACTTTTAAATTGCGCGTTCATCAGACTGAGGCAAGTCTCCATCAGGGATCCTATGCCCAGAGATTTGGCAAAGTCCCATGTGGCTGCCAGATTTTCTAAATTCACTCTTTATAGCCGACAGTTAGAAAAAACCGACACATATTTACCTATTGGCCATGAATTGCACTGCCCGATTCTCGAGATCAGACAGTTTCACCATTTTCGCAAAGAGCACTATGCCCTCCACATTCGTCTGCGTCATTTCCAACTGCCCCGTATACACATACTGGATGACTGAATTTGCGAGGCTAGAAAATGCATAATCAATGAGCACAATCAGAGGAAGGAGGATGATTTTACTTTAGAGGCATGGTTGGCCACTTTAGAACCGATTTGTCCTTATCGAGGGCACCACTGAGAGCAGCTCGCAGAGACGGAATACGAGCCGCTAGTATTATTCGATGAACATTGAAAACAGAGCCATGCTTCACCTAACAAACATGCACAAATTTACGCGTAAAGAACGGTAACCGCTACCTCTATGCTGAGGTCTGTGAATTCTCCCGAAACGCGAATCTCGTTGAGGGCTGGACAGCTGCGAACCAGGGGAACTGCGTCTTCGAATAACTCTACTTCTGCGAGCACCATCTCGAGTGATAACCGGATCAGGAGCGACGAATTGTCGCCAGTGCCATTAGCATTGCCTCTTATCGCGCCAGCGCACTTTACACCCGCACGCACGCACTCATGACCTTCAGGTACTGATTGGCTGATTACGGTTAGGAGCGGATGCGATTGGGCGATAGCCGGCACTGTGATGTAGTGTAATGCTTAAGTGAGAACCCCAGAGTTATTTTTATTGGTCAGGCCTAAGCTGGCTAGAAACGGACGATGGCGTACGTTCAATGCCAGATGGACTGACGTGTAACTTGCTAATGAGAAAACCGTCTGCGGTAATTCAAGCCAGTGGGTTTTGGTTCGTTTTGTGCTGATTAAGAAGGCTAATGAAAACCGCATGGTTGTCCGTTTAAACTGTGAGGACAGTTTGAGTTCCGCGTCGTCAGTGGCGGCACCAGACAATTTAGGATAGTGGTGTATTCGGCAGCCGCCCCCCCCCCCCCGTTAGGCATTAGAAATTTGCACTTTAGGGCCTCTACACATTATGTGACCTGTCACACGAAAGGTGCCCCCGTCCTTCCGCCCTGTAACACAGCTCTACCGAACCCACTCTGACACTTACTGCCTCCACCCACCCTATCCACACACTCTGCTTGTATTAAAAGATGAACCAGAATCGATTTCTCTTATCGACCTCAGGTAGGATAATTCTGAAGACAATACTTGGGTTACTTTCGCAGCTAAATACCCAAAGAGAATACGTAACGTCAACTACGGCACTTACCTATAGTACGTGACCTATCTCGCGAAACCTGATAATCGAAACTGATGCGACAATTTCTGGAGGTCTTAAACTTTACGCATTTTGCTTGTTTATTCAACCCCTTCGATGAATTGTCCTTTTCTTGTGCGGACATTGTACTAACCTAATTATATCCAGCAAAATATTAACAAATTTTTCAGCGTAAAGCAATATGCAATCCGTGCAAATTCGCACAATTTCACATGCTAATACCTGTCTTAGACTTTGCTTGCCCATTTGAGCGTGGTTCCTATTAAAAGGAGAGTAATTTATTCGTGAGAGTTTTGATTAACAGAGGTTTGCGGACTTGAGAATTCGTTTTATGTTCCATGCTAACCGTGGTAATCAATTTGCTCACACAAAGATCATTTTAAAAGAACCAGACGTTTTATCGATTTTCAGAAGTCATATTAGCAGGTCTGTGCAATTTGTTGTCCTGAAGTGCAGTAATAACGCAGACAGGGATTCCTTCGTTTAAATCGGCTGAAGTTGTTTTGCCGTTTGGAAAATGCTACGTGATGTCACAGAGCTGACAACCACCGAATGGCCATTCCCAGTCTTGAACATAGGAAACATTAATTGCCATGTAGTCTAGCTTCTGCAAGTACCTTATTCAGAAATGGAACGAGAAAAGCATTAGCAGTTTCACCAAAATATCAGTATTTATATGGGCACTCGGTCCTGCATTCATAATTGCGGATTGAAGTCTAAAAGCGAACAAATTTAGTGCGAAAGGCCGCAATATATAGAAGAAGACATAGTTTTGCGTTTAAGATAGAAAAATATGAGTATTGTTTAAAAAATTGAAAGAAACGGCCAAAAGTATCGAATTTCTTCTTGTTCTCATCTTAAAAAAGTGCTAAGTACACAGAGATCCGTCAATGAGGTCCAATATCAAAGCACTTAAAGAGGTAATTTATTATAGAGGGTCTTCTAATTGATTAAAGGCATATTTGTTAATGACCTTCGTTGTGGATGTCTGTTTTATTCGACAATGAAGTTTAATGCTTAAGCATGCCTTCAAATGTGACACAAACGACCTTCTACATGAAAAGAGCGGCCAAACACTCGTTACTTTGGTAAATGCCTTTAACAAGTATCTTATTTTAAAGTTTTTAACAGAGGCATGATACAGAATCTGTCTTTATGGGCGATCGGATGACAACACGGAAAATCAACGATAATTGAAGGCCGATCTGAAACGTAACGTTATTCTGAACAGACAAAAATTAAACGTTAATTTAAAAAAAGGAAAGTTCTATTTATAAACACAAAATAATATGTTTACGATTATGCCTATGCAGGTTGTAAACCTGCAGTTCTGTATTACGTCATAACAAATGATGCTCTCATTAGATTATGGTGAGACGCATCAATCACAAACGATGTGTCAGCCACGAGCAGTCCCACGCAAGCCTAGGTGCATCGCTCGGCAGTAAACATTATCATCTGGTGCGGAGGGAGAGGGGGCGGTTGGGTGGGGTTTCGAGTGTAACAGATTGGAGTCGCGAACGAGTTGCGTGCGTAGCATAGGGGGCGTCCACCCAGTGACAAGAGGGTGACACACTCTCAGCACGGTCTTCACTGAAGGCTCGCAACGGCAGGTGCTCCGAATTACGCTAGCTCTTCCCTAGAGCTTGATGTAACCATAGGTGATCCAGATTATGGTTTAGAGTTGAGGGATTTCTGCGGCTGTGCGTCACACACCGTCTGTTATGAAGTGTGTTGGTCGGAAACGCACATGTTGAAAATTTTAACGCATTCTTCCACGCATGGAATTATGGTTTGTTCTTGGGCAGGATTAACATCAGTGGGGTATGTATCATAGCAGGAGTTCGCGGATTGAGGTATGGATTCGAGTTCTGGTTTTCAAATCCACATACCTACTATATTTCTACCTACTATATTGCTTTCAGTAGGCCTTTTTGGTGTATTCTATAAGAGCTGCATGACGTCACGCGCTGTGGTGACTAGCCCTTTCATACCACCTCATTCGCAGACTACCTTCAGTTGCCAACAGATGCCAAGAGAGGAGTTCCAGGAAGCAGTGATGAAGAAGGAGACACGATGAGTCGAATAAGGGCTTACTTAGCCTTACATTTCGCATTCCTATTTGAACCCATCATCAGAGCCAATAGCCAAATCACCCAAGAGTCCAAACGGATGACAGAATCCCGCAGCGTGCGATAAGCGTGGGAGCCGATAATATTGACGCGTAGTAACGGCATGGAAACTGCATACTTCAACACCTGGACATTCGAGCCGTGATGCACTCGGGAGCTGCCAACTGTGATAGGCATCTAGCGGCCGAGCAACTACATCCTATAAATACTGCAACACCTGGGCAATTTGCCACCTTTATCTGACTCTGTCTTTGGTGATGGATAAGAGTGAAAATCCGAAGAGTCAGGCTAATAAAGCTCCTGTTCCAACGATCGTGTCTCCCTCGTCATGACTATCTCCTGGAACTCGCCTCTTCGCTTCCATTAGCAAGTCGCAGATACGGCTGCATTATTTATAGAATGCAGTTGCCATGCCATTGCATTCCTAAGAAAATTCAGGACTCACTCCTTTAGCAGGGATTGCTGCACATGGCGTGATGTTTGGACGTTGGTGCAATGACCGCCCGATCATCTAGCCCACCGACCTTGGCGTTGGGAACAGCGTTCGCCTGAGCGGTCCCCGCGTGGGTAATTACTTCACCTAGACGAAGTCTCAGCACCCAACATGGATGGAGAATGTCATTGCACTTTTTAATAGGCGCGGAGGGGGGCGGCAGTGAACCATGATTTAAACAGCCAGCAGCTCACGTAATTTTCACCTCTCGCGAGAATCTGGGCCTCATCGAACTTGAACGTGTTGCCGGGTCTCTTTAAATGGCCCGCGACCTGAGAGTTGGCATCATTCCTCCGCACTGTTGCTGTGTGTTTGGTCATTCCAGTTCAGAGCAGTCTTCTGGTTTCTCCGACGTAATTATTTTGTCCGAAATTGTGCCAGATCCGATAAGCGACTTCAGATGTTTTTTACCGTGGTTGATGGTCTTTCGGTTGCATCATGTGACGCCCGTTACCTAGCACGTTCAAACCATGGCGTTCACGCATTACATTCATTATGGACTTTTGCAGTGACTAACTACGTGTCAAATGGTCGCAGGATTCTTCTCCAACCGATGCGTGAGTTTCGAATTTGGTTTAAAATTTTCGTCCTCGGAGGTCTAGATTTTTCGACATTTCGACCTACTGCACGCTCCTGCAGCCGACTGGAGTTAAAAATGTACTTCAAGATAGCAATATTCGCATCGTCCACAAACAAAAACACGACTTTCGCAGAACGTGGACTTCGACCACTACCAGTTTCTACATATGTAGAGGCACAGAGAGCGGAGAGCAGATGATCCCCGCCCCCTCCCCCCGCAAAAGAACCAGGGACAAACAGATGATTAATAATAAGACTCATATCACACACAAGTAACTTAATTCACATCAGAGGGAGAAATTAGGCCACAATGGACTAATTATTGAAGAGGGAACGGCATAAATCGGACGACTTCGTCGTACTCGAGGAAAAGAACCTTTTAAGGTGAAAAGGCAGAGCTTGCCTGTGCAATCGACAGAACCCCCCAGCGACCGAGTAGACACAGCCGCAGTGGATGCGAATATCCTCTTTATTGACATAAACGATAGGGACAGTATTGTCCCAAACACGACGCGGTTAGTTCAAGAAAAAGTCCCCAAAGGTGATAGCAACCTAAACATCGTCATGAAAGGTTTGCCAGAAACTCCCAAGTCACCATCATCACGCAACAAAGATATGTACAGTGAGTGACCTATCTCATGAAATGTTGGCTGAAATTCTGAAATGCGTTTTCGATAAGGAAGGATTACTTGGTCGCGGTTTTAATACTGCTTATCTTGCGACATACTCTTATAAAATTTCAGACTTGTCAAGATGTCGGCTTTTAAATGCATTTCTTTTCAATCTCCTGTAGAAAGCGTGCTCGGTAAAAAATGACTATTTAAGTAGCATGCATTTTACCATTGATTTTTGATGGTCTTTGAAATTCAAATATATTTTATAGAAACCATAAACAAAAATATGCTTTCTTTTAGTCAGTCAATAGAAAGGAAGGAGTGTAAGTAGGTTTTAAAAAAGTTTCTAATTTTGAGACTTTTTAAGACCGCGAAATGTACATTCGCATAGCATCGTACCTAACCGTTTACCACTGCTCCTCATGAAATGTACAACATGATCCGCATCCATTGCAAAATTTTATGAACTCTGTATGATATCTCTTTAATGGCATAGAAAAATGTGTGATTTTCTTTAAGCGAAACGCATGCACCTTGTAGAGTGAAATCACTAAGCGCTAATGCAACGAATGATCAGGCTCCAAATTATTCGGCAATTAGAACACTTTTTAAAACCTAATTATACTCCTTCCTTAAGTATAAAATATAAAGAAGACGTGATTCTCTATTGATTGCCTAAAAGAAAGCACACTTTTGTTTGTGGTTTCTATAAAATTTATTTGAATTTACACGACCATCAAAAATCAATGGAAAAAATGCATGCTACTTAAGTAGTCATTTTTTCCCGAGCACGCTTTCTACAGGAGATCGAAAAGAAAGGCATTTTAAAGCCGACATCCTGCCAAGTCTAAAATGTTATAAGAGTATGCCACAAGGTAAGCAGTATTACAACCGCGACCAAGTAATCCTTCATAATCGAAAACGCATTTCAGAATTTCAGCCAACATTTTATGAGATAGGTCACTCACTGTAGTTCCGAGAACAATGCCCTGTAATACAGGGGCTTCAAGAGGCACACGCAGACGCACCTAAAAAACGCGTTCCGACAGATCTCGGCTTGTTCTAAGGTCTACTGAATACAATACTTCAGCCCGACCAAGAAGTTTCGAAATTGAAAGCCTTCAGACTCGGAAGGCGCACTCCTGGACCCTCGATCTCACCGCATCCTAAGACCCTCAAAAGCAAATTGCAAAGAACATGTTGATCTCACTCTCTCAAGGCGTTTTCAATTAAAATATTCCCACCAAGGGGTTTTTCAGCCGGAATACGCACCACCGGAGCGGCTAAAATGCCGGCAACTCGTGTAGGAGCTCAGACTGTGATAGAGGAGTGGCGAAGAAAACTTGAACTGATAAGAATTAGAAACGACCGTTGAAACAAGAGCTTCATTCGTCTGACGTTTCGGATTCTAGCTCGAACCCATCATCAGAGACAGGGACAGAAAAGGGTCACTGTCATTGTCTCTGATGATGGGTTCGAGCGAGAATTCGAGACGTCAGGCAAACAAAGCTCTTGTTCCAACGATCGCTTCTACTTCTTATCAGATTCTGCAGAGGAAGGTCCTGCTTGACCAATTCACTCTACTGTCTAGAGCGGTGGACCCCTAGCGATTGATGGGGGAAACGTGGTGCATGTGGCCTGCATAGACTTCAGGAAGACTTTCAATAGTGTGCTACACCAAAGTCTCCTGTATAAGCTCATCCGCATAAGGGTAAGAGGCAAGCTTTGAAGTGGATCGAAAACTTCTTGATTGATCGATCTCAGATTGTCCGCCTTGATGACCAGCAATCGGCGGAGTTGACTGCTGCACGCAGCGTACATCAGAGCTCCGTTCTTGGCCCCGTCCTCGTCCTCATATATATACGGATGACTGCATCCGTGGATTGGACTGCAACATTGCCATGTTTGCTGATCACATAAAGCTTTGGAATGTCATCCGCAAAGAGGACGACGAAGCAAATCTATAGGCAAATTTGAATCGACTCGAGCACTGGTCAAGTCACTGGCTCCTCTCGTTCAATGTTGCCAGAAACATTCTGCGAATTAGCAGATCCAACTCTAAGGACCGGAGGAAGTACCTTTTAAATCACACACCGCTACCATAGGTGTCGGTTCAGAAGGATCCAGGTGTGTGGAGAACATCCTCACTAAAGTTATTATTCCGCAGCTGGAAAGTAGCAAAGTCCGAAATGTCCAGCATTTTCGACGTTCGACGAAGAGTGTTTTGGCAAGGTCTTCGGGATGTTCGTGCAGACACAGTTGGAATTTACCGTTCAGGCCTGGAGACCCTGGTCTGTCAAAGACCGTGCCACACTCGAAGAAGTCCAACTATTTGCGACCAAATATGTCAGAGGCCAAAAAACCGACCTTACGAAACTCTACTGTCCAATCTTGACCTATTTTCCCTGGACTACCACCAATTACGTGACGATCAAATTTGAATGTTTCGCATGCCGCGGGGTCGGGATTGTTGCCTCACATCCAGCGACTTCTCTGAGCCGGCCACCACTACTAGCTTCAGAAGGTATCCTCTCAAACTACGTGGACGTAAGGAAATTCTTCTTGGGCCACAAGGTGATTAAGGCATGGAAGTGCGTACACAAAAGCTCTGTAAGCAGTCGCCGCAAACGCCCTCTCCAGGCTATTTGTGTTGTCTGTGTCCGCCTTCGAGGTGCTGAGAACCAGTGCGTGTGTGTGCACCTTTCGTTGTCTCAGCGTCCGCCAGCCAATCAGAGGAGGACAGCGTTGATTGGCCCTGGCACTCGCGAGGCTAGTGACAAGCCTCGCGCGTCCCAGCAGCGGATCCACAAGGACTATGAGGTGGACAGGAAGGCAGCGTGACAAAGGCGGAGCAAGGAGACGCGAACTGCCACACCCCACGTCCAGAGACTTCTTTGAGCCGCTCACCACTAATGCCTTGAGAGGGTATCCTCTAAAATTAAGTGGACGCAAGGAAATTCTTCTTCAGCCACAGGGTGACTAAGGCATGGAAAGCTCTGTCTTTGGGCATCATCATGTCCTCATCCGCGGACGTACTTGCGAGGAAGCACGGCCAGTGCAGGGATATGTACCACCACGTCATCAGAAACTGCCAAATTTTCGCTTTATACTACCCGAACATTTTACGTTACAATGTATACTCCGTCCTATATTTAGGTAACATTATTTTGTAACCTTTTCGTTAAATGCCTCCACCCGCCGTCTACGTGCGAACCAGTGAATCCCGACTGAAGCATAATCGTTTGTTGACAGTTCTCGGATCATGCCGGTACTCACCATATAGCGAATGCTGCAAGGTTTGTAGGTCTTGCTTGGTGTGATTCTCATTAGCAATAGGGAGTGGTTCGTCATTTCTTCTCTGCGCTTAGTTTCCTACCGCATTTACGTAATTGGCATATCTAGCCCATTTGCAACACCAGATAGTTTGCTGTGTGGTCGATTACATGTTTCGGTCCTCTATTTCTTTACCAAGTTTTTGTTCTCTTTGCATTAGCCTGACATGCTTCTTTTATGCCGAATTAGCATGGTTTTCTTGGGCCATGTCGGTTTGGATTAGTTGTATTTCTTCTGGCTTCGGTATCGGTTTTTCTTGGCTTATCAGTTACGACCACCGCTTGAAGCTTCACTGTTTCTTGTCGTAGCCTCAGTTCTATATTCGTTATCTGATTACTATGCAGCCATAAGGTTTTTCTAATTACCAATTGAACACTGTTAGCTCGCGTTTGGCGGCCTTTCTATAGTCCCACCGTCGTTCTGAATGCAGATTCTGTCTCTGACTGACCGTACTTCTCATTCACCGAGACACTTTGGCTGCGATCGTTTTCACTATTTGGAGAAATTTACGGTAACACCAATCACATATCAGCGATAGGATGGTTCGGTTGAAAAGGCTTTATGCGTAGTCGGCGGCAGTTCTCCGCCCGTACTATGCGACTCACCAGCTACTGACTCGATGGACTTGGTGCGATCTGCGGACCTGACGGTTCGTCTAAACCGCGGTACACGGTGTCAATATTGCTGGCAGGTCAAGGTCCCAAACATGTCCGCAGCTGTCCCTTTGTGATTTACAGCCCTGTCACATTCATTTAACAAAGCAGTTCAGTTTGAATAACTTGATTTACAGGAAGTTACTTACATGTGAAGAAATTCCGTTGTGTGAAGGTTTACCACATTTCATCCACTGGATGGTTGATGGAGAGAGAACATTTGATCGAAATGAGACAGAAAGATTTTCCATGCTTCATTCAGGCTAGCTGTGTTCAGCCAAAAACCATTCGCCATTATGAGTAGATCACGCTGCGATTACTTGCTTCTGCCTTTTAGAAGGAAAAGAGATAACGACATTTATTATCGAGTTTGCCGCTACTGGTTTTAGCTTAGTTCAATCAGTTTAAATCTGTATATTGACTCTTATGCATGCAAATATGCATACCAAGGTAATTATTTCAGGAATTGTTGAGTGCAGGATATGGAGTTACTACCCGGGACATGACTTTTTAGGGGCAGAGCCGAAAGTTCAATAGACATTTAAGTCGGAGACAATCAACTACTGTGGAATAAACATGTAATGCCCACCCTATAAACCAGTAGTACTATTGGTAGTACAATTTTGGCAAGTACCTAAGTCGGGAGTACGGTATGGCCATCTGTAAACATCTCGCGATTGAAACCATACGAATATTGCTGGAAAAACATTACAACGAGACGGACAACAAAATTAAGATAAAACACCTTGGCGATCTCCTGAAACTCTGCTCGAAGACCCTCTTTACCTTCAATGGAGCCACGCACGAACATGTTGAAGGTACACCGATGGGGTCGCCGTTATCCAGCTTGACTGCTGAGGCAATGTTACAGCGACTGGAGGCACTGGCTTTCGACAAGTATCGGCCGCGATTGTGGGGACGGTATGTTGATGAAACATTTGTCCCCATCAATCTGAACAGGATTGGGAAATTCACACAGCATCTGAACTCGATTTTTCCAGATATCCAGTTCACGATGGAGGACGAAAAAGGTTGACAGTTGTCGTTTCTCAATATACCAGTCCATAGAAAAGGCGATTGGGGACTTAAAACAACGGTTTACCGGAAGGCGATGAATAACTCTCGTATTCTGAGTTTTCTTAGCAACCACCCCCGTTCGCACAAACGCAGCTGCGTAAGAACACTCTACCGGCGTGTAGAAACCCATTGCACCGTGCCAGCCGACAAGAGGGCCGAGGTCCAGTTCCTGAGGAAACTCTTCACCATGAAGGGCTACGTTGGGAATTTTGTCGAAAAGTGCAGGCGTGAAGCCCGGGGGAAAAAACCGAAGGAGCAGCCGAAACTGAAGCGCTGGCGCTCAGTGTCGTACATAGCCGGTTTGTCAGAAGAATTCGCCAGACTGGTGAGCGAATTTGGGATCGGCGTCGAGCACAGACCTGAAGCAACAATCCGCCGGCAACTCATGCAGCCCAAGGACCCGATTCCCATAGGTCAGAAATCGGGAGTCATTTACCGGATAGACTGCAGCTGTGGTCAAACCCATTATGCTGGTGGAACACGCAAGCAGGTTCGAAAAGGACTGCACGGGCACGGGTTGGCTGTGAGACGAAAGGACAAACTCTCCTCGGAAGCCGCCCACGCCTCCTCGCCAGAGCATCACTTTGACTTTGAGTGCACGAGAATATTGCAACACGAAGAAGGAGACGCGATCGCTGGAGCAAGAGCTTTGTTAGCCTGACGTTCCGGATTCTCACTCAAATCAGTCATCAGAGACAGAGGGTGCAAATTGCCCAGGTGTTGCAGTATGTATAGGATGTAGTTGCTCGGCCGCTACATGCCTATCACAGTTGGCAGCTCCCGCGATGCTCTCAACTCTCATCTTGTAACTCAGTTGTAGTGTTGGCAGCAAAACCTCGGTGTATTGATTGGATGTTTACGGAGTATCGTTCATGAGAATCCGCGTTGCGCTGGCACCGCCAGACCGAATGCGTCGCTGCGGTCGTTAGGCTGTTTCCCAACAATGCATTAGTGGCCACATCAGATGCATTGGTAAGTCTGGTGGCTACTTTCACCTCGTCCAGCCGAGGTACCTAACTCTCTCGCGACTTCATGAAGCCACGTATGGCACAGCGGTCACAATCTGGTAACCATCCTTGAGCAAATGAGGGCTCTTGGTGTGTGTATTCCCAGATCCAGTACTACCTTCACATATCTCCATTCTCTTTCCCAACCTCAAACAAAGAGTCCTACGGTGAGGGCGACGATAACTGCACAGGAAACCTCAGCTAAAGAGACATGCTCGCTAAAACATGAGCCCTACTAGCCTGATTCTCACTGGAATCCATCATCAGAGACAGTCAGATAAGGGTAGTAAACTGTCCCGGTGTTGCAGTATTTACAGGATCTAGTTGCTCGGCCGCTACATGCCTATCACAGTTGGCAGCTCCCGAGTGCATCACGGCTTGACTGGCCAGGTGTTGAAGTATGCAGTTTCCATGCCGTTACTACGCATCAAGATTATCGACTTCCACGCTTATCGCACGCTGCTGGATTCTGTCATCCGTTTGGACTCCTGGGTGATTTGACTATTGGCTCTGATGATGGGTCCAAGCAAGAATGCGAAATGCCAGGCCAAGTAAGTCCTTCTTTGACCGATCGTGTCTCCTTCTTCGTGACTGCATCCTGGAACGGCAACGGCAGACTCGGTCGATGGGGACGCAGACGTACCGAAATGTCACTCGTCCGCCCCGAGGCCGTCAGGCTGAAGTTGCTGAAGTTTCGAGTGAATCCTATCCAGTCCCTACCGTAACATCAAGTACTGACTGTCCTCTACCTATTCTAGACCTAACCGTTGGCAGCAGACGATTAGCATTTCTTGTAGATACAGAGGCCGCCTGCTCCCTGCTAAACCCTAAGGGGTCCTTGCATGCCTGGTTTGAACATGCTAAGATCTCACACAAGCACCCCCGTATCATGGCCGCTAGTGGTACCTCCTTTTCCTTTTTTGTACCTAGTCGACGTACCTTTTTGCCTGGGGTCATCGGAATTTCGCCATCCCCTTTACGTTTGTCTTGATATTCAGTCGCATCGTATTTTTAGAGCTGATTTCCCTCATGCTCATAATTTCTGCATCGATTCTGCCATTGGCCATCTTAAGTCTAAGCCGACCACCTCCCTCTTTTACTTTCCCCACAGCTCTCAGCATCAGCTAGCCTGTGATTCAGGCGGTTGCGACCTTCCCGAGCATTCTAACCTCGTACGCCTGGTCCCTAACTCCCCAAACCTCTCTCTTGGACAGGTGACTGCCGTTCACATTCTTATCTGTCAGAATTCTGCTGCTTTCGCATGGGAGGGTGAACCTTTAGGTAGAGCGAACGTGTGGCCGCATGCCATCTACACGGAGTCGTCTCGCCCAATTCGTCAATCACCTCGGCGGGTACCCGTCCAATTCCAGAAACAATTGGAGCAGGCAATCAAGGACAGGCTGGACAAACAGGTCATATAGGTCAGTATATTTTAAGAGTAATAGGCAATGCCTTTGAAAACCCTATTGTAAACGGTACATGCAATACATCACTTTAAATAAACATGGTACTGAAATGTTGTCAGTAACATACACATTTAGCAGAATATTTCCACGAAAATGTAGAACAAAAACTTGAGAACATTCAGTTGTAGATGATTTCAGTAAAATGTAATGACAGTCATCCGCATTAGCGGTATGAGTATGCAAGGCGTTGGTTTAGCACCACAGAGCTGTTCTGTCCAGACAAGCGATAGTGTCCAAGCAAATATGCATCGAGTCTTTGCTTGAACGTCTCCGTGGTATTCGCCATTATTACGTCCTCGGGAAGCCCGTTCCAGGCACCGACGACTCGCTGTGAAAAACAGTATTTGCGAACGTCCAGGTGACATCGGGATCCTCTAAGTTTTAGAGAGTTCCCACGCAGGTTTGTTTCTTCGCCGTGGGCCTCGCCGATCCTTCTCGTCAAACAGAAAGAAAGGTCTTTACGATTATGTGTTGACCACCGGAAGTTAAATTCTGTGATGGTGGAAGACTAAGCCCCAGTGCCTTACATAGACACTAGCTCAGAGGCGCTGGCAGGTGCTGGCTTTGTCTTCACGCTTGATCTACCGTTCGGCTACTGGCAGGTAGAAATAGCCCCTGAGGAACGCTGTAAGACTGCATTTCCCATTCCCTCTGAGCTATGAGAGTTTGAAGCCATGACATTTGGGGTTGGCAAACGTGCCTGCGACCTTTCACAGTCTGATGGCCTCGGTTTTACGCGACTCGTATCCTGCCGCATGTCTGGTGTACCTGTACGGTCTTATCGTACATGGGTCCTCGGTCGAGTCATACCATGTTAAGCTTCGAACCATTTTCACCCGTCTTCGAGCTGTGGACCTTAAACTGAACCCGATCAAGTGCTGTTTCTTAACGACGTCTGTCACATTCTTGGGTAGCATTGTCTCAACTGATGGGATTAAGACCGATCCCATGAAGACTGAGTGGATTAGACACTGACCACAACCTACGTCCGTTTCCGAGTTCCGTGGGTTTCTGGGGCCGGTCACCTTTTATCGCCGCTTTATCAAAGATTTGGCACACAAAGCCGTCCCTCTGAACAGTCTTACCAGCAAACGGACCACTTTGCGATGGTCCGACGAGTGCGAGAGATCCGTTGGAGAACTGAAAAGGCCGGCGTTTGACATCCCCCCTTTTGTTGGTATTCCCCGACATTTCCTGAGTCGGCTCTGCCCCTCATCTTAGACCGTGACGCTTCGGATATGGTCATCCGGGAAATCCTGTCACAACAACAAGCTGATGAACGTGAACATCCGCTCGCTTTTTTCAGCCAGACACTCACTAATCCTAAGCGTAACAATTCCGCAACTGGTAAGGAGCTTCTTGACGTTGTGGCGTCTGTCAACCAGTTTCACCATCACCTAGCCGGCAAACGCGCTAATAGCAAAAATTGGCGTATCGGGCTCGCAAATGTCCGCGTTCGCGCCCCCAAAAGCATCTGTGATTTGATTGGTTGATATGTGCGCCGCGATAACTTTGCCAGGGGCGTAAACGAGTACATGCGCTGACACGTGCTAATTGATAGCATCGGGTGCTCGAGCGGGTTCCGGCAGTCCCTGGGTGACACTTCCTGGTCTCCACCTAGCCGTGGCCGACATCCTTTTCGTCCTTTTCTCGCCCCCCTCTCTACACGGACTTGGAGAAGGCTTTTGACAGCCTCCCACACAAATGACTAATCTACAAACTGTCTGAAATTGGAATATGAGGAAAGCTTCTGACATGGATTGCAGATTTCCTTAATGGGAGATCACAAACCGTGTGCGTTGAGGCCTCGAAGTCAAATCCTACCGCAGTTCTAGGTGCTGTTCCCCAGGGCTCTGTCTTAGGGTCGCTGCCATTCATAGTTTACATTAACGACTGCGTCGACAACCTGGGATACAACGCCGTCATGTTTGTTGACGATGTTAAGCTGTGGAGACCCATCATATCGGACGCATACAGGAACGCGCCTCCAGAGTGTCTCAACCGGCTGAGCAGGTGGTCACCTCGTTGGCTCTTCAATTTTAGTGTGGACAAATTTGTGGTCCTGACACTCCGCGCACACAGGACTAGTAAGAAGAGTGATTCCTCATATATACTGAATTAGTACGTCCTTGGCGGGCAGCCCATTCAAATGTTGAGGAACAGAAAGACCTTGGTGTCCTAATGATCTCCTCGCTGAAACCAACGTCACAGTGTCAAAGTGCAGCCAAACGCGCGATGCGGGTGTTATTTGCGCTGAGGAGAGGATTCGGGAAGATCTATAAGGAGCTGTTCGGAAAAGTCTACGCGTTATCCATTCGGTCTCAAGTAGAGTATGCAGTACAAGCTAGGCAACCGTGGTGGAAGAATGATTATCAACAACTGGACAGTACAGGCGATGGCTGCGAAGATGATCAAGAATCGCGTTCATCAACTTTTTCTGTTCCATATGCCGTCGTTGAGGGAGAATTGCCAACACTTACGCCTCAGTAATTTGAAAAGTTCGTTGCTCTCATCCACCTCATTGCTAGTGAGGCCGAAGACAGACTTTATTTTGAAAAAATTTCCTAAAAGTAGGCAGCCTACGGATGTCGCCTTCCATTTCCTTTAATCTTGTGGCTTTCACTTTAAGGTCGTTGAATATAAAAGACTTTCATCTAGGAGCAAAAATCCATCAATTCTTATAAAATTATTTTGATCGATAGAAGTAGACTTTATTTTCACCCATCTAGAGCGCCCAGCTCAATATCTTAGAGGGACGAAGCTTTTTATTAGTCGGGATAAAAGTCCACTGCAATACAGGGTTTCCCCCTTATTGGCAAACGTACATCCACCCCAGAATTCTACTCATCTGTCATTTGCCTCTGAAGTAGATTCCCTATAGAGCGTTAATCAAATGCTCCCCATATCTGCGACGGCTTCAGTTCCATCTAGCTCTTCAAATGAGCACATTATCACCAAGTCAGTTGAAACCTGCCACTTTAAAACACTTCCAAGTAGTAGGGATTGCTCAAATGCTGCTCCCAATCCACCAGGACGCCTGACCTTAACGGTGAAGATGACCTAATCCCAGAAGCACAATCCACCTCCAGGACTCGAAATCATAAATTAGTTAATGAACCTGGGTCGAATCAATCCCGTTCCCGTGTCGAGCCACACAAGTCTGACCTAGCGGTAAGACCAAATAAGCCAGATAGTAGCCCCCAGGGAGATCTTCACCTGCTCCTTTCCCGAATCTCTAACTTAAAGAAGGTACCATAGTTGTGAAGCCCATTAACACACCAGCCTGTAGTATGCAGGTATACAGTGTTGCTGATAGATTTCCCAATCCCCCAGCTAGCCTGACACGCCAAATACTAAAGCCTTCTCATGACGTTAACAGTTTCTCGAAACTACTTAGTCCGTTTTCTAACATAAATGCTCAACATTCTCAAAATCCTATTTTATGCCTCTTATCTTTCCAAACCCACGAAATGGCCTTCCTCTTCATGGGTCCTGCCCAAATGTGTTTCCATGCAATGCTGCCTCTCTAGTTAGTCGTAATATTCCCACAAATTTCAGACCACAGCAACTTTTTCCCCCCTTTTCCCTACAGCTTAATTTCCCATCACCAACTCTTCCTTTTTGATACTCAGTAATGAGCGAAAACTACATCTTAGGAATACACTTAGTACAGTTTCTCTCAAGGCAAAACCAGTCGTGCAGCAAAAAATGACACAACTAAGGAGTGTGGCCTTTGAGTTTGACTCAGATGTTTTGTGAATCACAGTAACTTGGGTTCACTCTCCAATTCCACTCTCGCCGCTCGATGTAGATAGCCTCAGCTTATACCGTCAGAATCGTGTTGAAAAACGTGGCGTTGGTTGCCTTCTTTACATCAGAGCCTCACTTGCGCAGTCGCCCTATGACCTGAACATTTCTTCCTTCCCTGGAATCTATGTTTCGCTTCGGTAATCCTCCCGCAAAATTGGAAAGCCTTGATCGGATGTGTACATAATTCTTCTTGTTACCTCGGAAATGAAATCCAACTCTGTGAACTCTTTGAAAAAGTAGCAAAGACTTCACTCGATGCCAAGATAATTATAGGAGATTTTAATTTGCCGGAAATTGACTGGCACATAAATACTTCCCCCCCCCCTAAATTCCAGGAGCTTTTACACAATGTTAACTGTTCAAATCTGTCTCAACAAGTCCACACTTCGACCAAAAACAATAGTTTATGTAATTTTATTTTGATTAATGGCATCCTCCCTTTATCTATGAATTTCCATCGTGACCTTTTTAAAACTGATCATGAATTAATTCCTTGTCGTCTTCCAGTTGCCATTTCCGCAAAGCCAGCAGTAAAACTTAGCTTTTTCATTGCTAATATTAACAAGGAATTAGTAAATAATTTCACAAGTACCCTTGATTTGCACAATATTTTTTCTAATAATGATTTACATTTTTTCTGCGTTTGAAATCGAATGCCACTTCCTGTAGTGTCCCAAATTTTCTTAAAAACAGTATTAAAAAGCTACAGAGGCAGCTTGAAGATCCACCCGTAAGTTCATTATCGATTCACCTAAGGATCGCTGCAATATTTGAATTAGCTTCGAAAATAAGGCTCACTTGAGATAAGCGTAAAGAGTCTTTAGCTATTAGTGGTGCGAATGCTCCCAGATCTATTGCTCAGCTCTTCCTTCAAAGATCATCAGCTTAGTCCCACTTAGTCATCCGGTCTTTGCTTAGTTCCAACAATATTTTCATTACTGAGGAGTAAGGAAAAACAGAAATGTTAAATTAATTCTTTGCCAAACATTTTACCATTGAGACGGACCCAATCCCTTCGATTCCTCCGTTATCTGATGCTTGCCACACCATCATTAATTTTGCCCCTACAAATTTTTATAAGCTGATAAGCCACCTTTCTACCTCTCACTCAGTAGGAACTGACAAAATTCCAAACTCTCTTATAA